AAAATAAATACAAACCAATTTATTTTCCTTTTACAATTTTTTTTTGGATAAGCCAAGCAAACGCAGGTAAACCCTAAAAAGAAAGAAAAACCAATTGACAGCGCCATTATCCAAATTTATTCACCTCGTCCTTTACTCAGTTCTCCTTTTTTTCTCCTTTCAGAACATCAGCCAAAAGAGGATAAGAGGTTCAAGTATATACACAAGCTCCAGAAAATCGACTATTTTAAGGTTAGATCTCCTTCGAAAAGTCGACTCTCGAAATATATTATCCCGGACACTCTACGATCTTCTTTTGTATCGTTATTGGCTCGCTATTCCTCCTTTTTCTTCTTTCTTTTTTTTAATCCTGCGCTACCTCCACCCTACTTCCTTCTTTCGAAAGTTCAAGCGTTCATTTGTTCGGGAGCAATTTATCAGGTCACGGCTTGCTTTAATTAGCCAGGCAGTCAAGGACGTATGTTTTTTTCTAATTATTAAATGACACGTGCGACGGGGTCTATTGATTTAACTCAGAGTGATAAGAAATAATGAGGTAAGCGAAAATTTTAAAAACGACACGTATAATTATAATAATTAATATTTACGCATACGTATTATAACTATTTAGATATGAAAATCAACGATTGTCAAATAAAATCCACAACATTTGTAAGCTGTTAAAATGCTTCTAATCATTAAAAAAGACACAGTTCGATTTTGACAAAATATTTTCAATGTTTTTTCATTTTATAAATTTGTGGCATTACAATAACCTAGCCCATAGTGCAGTTAATCTGGCAATCCCATGAAATTATCTCCGCTGTCTCATAATATACCGGGTGTTCTATTTAAAATAACAAAGTTGCTACTACTTTTAGTATGAAGCGGCAACACTGGAATGCTGAAAATAATTTAGACAGATAGAGCAGGTGCCTTTGTGCAAAAATCCAAATTTTCAAAAGAATCCTATCACCGATTCTCCATAAACGTCTAAACGTCCTGTATACCGGGTACGTCTCAAAAGTGGCTCACTCATATAACTTTCTTATTTTTTCAGTTAAAATAATGATATTTGGTATGTTAGTATATTACATATATTAGGATTGATTGGCGTATTCAATTGTTTTCGGTCACTTCCTGTTTTACCGGAAATTACTGCAACTTTTGATTTTTAAATGGCACCCTCGATATTTTTTTACTTTATTCGATAGAAAATAACACTCTGAAAAAGTTGACATATTATCATATGTCAACTTTTGACATTTTTGCTTATCGTTTATTTGAAATAATAACTTGCTGTTTATAACGAAAATTTGGCTCGAAATACCACGTGTGTGGTATCAAATTATTCGTAAAAAAATGATTTTTCCAAATATGCTAATGAGGCACCCCTGTTCCATATGAAAAAATTGAGATATGGTTAAAAATACGATTTGAGCATTTTCTAACTGGCCAGGACAAGGCTTCTTGATTAAGAATTAGTATTTTTAACATAGCCATGGTACTCTAGATTGAATTTTAAAATACGATTTTTTATTAAGTGAGATTGTCAAAAGTTGACATATGATATGTCGTTCTATTCAGAATGACATTATCTATCGAATAAAGTAAAAAAAATACCGAGGGTGCCATTTAAAAATCAAAAGTTGTAGTCATTTCCGGTGAAACACGAAGTGACCAAAAACAATTGAATACGTCAATCAATCCTAATTTATGCCATTTACTAAAATACCAAATCTCGTTTTTTTATCTGAAAAAATAAAAAAGTTACAGGGGTGAGCCACTTTTGAGACGCACCCGGTATTTTCAATGTTGTTTTTTTATCATTTTATAAATTTGTGGCATTACTATACATATATTATACAGGGTGTCCCAGAAATAAGTGCAAATATTTTAAGCGGTGGTAGATCTCGATAAAAGAAACATACTTATATATGATATATTTTCTCTTTATCGTTTTTCAAATAAGTCCAAAATAACGGAGTTATTATATTTTGAAAATTTCCAAAAAAAAAATATTTTTTGCTAAAATTTTGAGATCCACTGAATCTTTTCTGGATTTTCTTTCTTGTACATTTAATCTAATACCTATGTTGCCATATTATCAAGAAATTATGTTTTTTAACTAAAAACTAAAAAAATTTCCAAAAAAAAATTTTTTCGCGAAAAAACCTCATAGGCGTGTTTCTGGGTTTGAATTATACTACCAGTTAAAATATTTGCACTTATTTCTGGGACACCCTGTATATACTGGCCCATAGTACAGTTAATCTGGCACTTTAACTCTCATCAAATTACCCCCACCCCACCGTTTTTGAGAAACTCAAAAAAAAATATGGATTCGATTTTCTGGCTGAACCATAGGTCCCACAGAAAATTTTATGGAAAAAAAATGAAGAGAATTAAATTCTCTACATTTTCATCTTTAAGTGACAAACCTCTATAATCTACAGAGACACGGTTAGAGGGCACCAATTTTACACATGTTTTATTTTTTATCTCAAAAACTATTAGAGATTGGTATAGGTTAGTATAATAGAAAAATTTTGAGATTTGGAAGTAGTTTCGAAAAATATATTAATATACCGGGTGTTCTATTTAAAATAACAAAGATGCTACCACTTTTAGTATGTAAAGCTGAAAATAATTTAGACAGATAGAGCAAGTGCCTTTATGTAAAAATACAAATTATCAAAAAAATGCTATCACCGGTTCTCTATAAACGTCTAACGTGCCATGGCCAAGAATCACCCTGTATATGTCGCTTTAAATCTATAGATAAAATCGAGACTCTATCTCTCCTATTCTCAAAACTATTTCTCTCTAAAATGATGAAAATGAAAGAGACAATTTTCCACATCGCCGTTTATTTATAAAACTTCTTAATTCTATTACGGGCGCTTTTATAGAAGTTTCCCCGGAAAATAGTGATTGATAACGAAGCACGCTCGAGGAAAAAAGGGGAAAGTTAGAGGAAAATTGCGATTTTAAATTGAATTTCTGAAAATTATCCAGGTGACAAGATAGCAGGAAGTTGACAGCGAGGCATACGGTTTGTTGAAAATAAGTGATTTATTGAAAAAAATTGTGTGTGCACTGTGTGCGCATATATTTGAAGTGGAACTTCTTACTAACAGCTATTAAATTAGATGATTTGATGGACATGTTTGAGAAAGTGACATAATATAATGCTGTTTTAATATAAATGTTATTTTCAATTTATTTCTGTAATCTGTACATTTTCTGAATACAATTTCGAAGCTTTATCAAAGAAACTGAGCGCTGCCTGTTTTGCGCTAAGATCAGTTTCTAAGGAACTCATCAACCTCTAGAATGGTCTATTATGCCCATTTTGAGTCGCATCTTCGTTATGCCCTTCCATTCTGGGGTACTTGCTGAGCGACAAAATTTGATCGTATTTTCAAACTTCAAAAGAGAGCAGTTCGATACTTATTGGGACTAAACAGTAGAACTCACTGCCAGAATTTCTTTAAAAATTTCAAAATACTGACTCTTCCTTCCTTATTCATTTTTGAATCCGTTTGCTTAATCCGCAAGCACATATTCTCTATTCCGGAAAGGCCTTCTCACAACTATCCACTTAGGAATGCGGAGCACGATATTTATCTGCCAACCCCGAGCTCAGAACTAATTAAGGGCTCAATACTGTACAATGCCAAGAAAATGTACAATCATCTGCCTTCGAATATCAAGTCACTTTCAGTCTTTACCGCATTTCGCAAAGCTCTGAAATCATACTTACTGGATATGCGGTAAACGACTTTTTTGTTGATGTTTAATCATGAACAATTTTGAAATTTAAAATTTTGATCATCTCACACACTGGTTAAAGGTCTAGTATTTAATATTTAATATTTTATAACTCTTGATTTTATGATATATAACATGATTTTATCCATTTACAGTTTTCCTTTTGTAAAATTTTCTAGATAGGTACGTCTGTGTTCTGCAATGTCCATATATTTCTTTTATTTGTAATTTTATGACGTAAATTTTTTTGAATTGATTTGTATTGTATGACATTTTTTTTTTATTATTTGTATACTTGTTTTTGTGCTTTTTTGTTTTGTGAATGCTTTGTCGATGAAGCTGTTGGCTTTTTGTACAAAAAAGCGTTGTTTTTTTTGTTTCCTCAATAGCCTGCAAATTTTGTGGAATACCACCCAAAATACACATTTTTATGCACATGCCTAATAATGTTAACGCTTTTATTTAAAAAGAGATAAAATTTTGAACCTAACCAACAATTCATATTTATAGTGGTTTAGAGTAATTTTGTTAAATTATACGAGTATTCTCATTGATTATTGGCTTCAAATAAATATGACGATGTCCTCCAATGTAAATGCAAGTTACTTAACCCTAATAATTCCAATTCTGAGCTAGCAAACGAGCTAAATGCTTTACCTACACCGTTATTCATATGCACGCTTAAAAATCGGAAAGCACCTGGTCCGGACACCATCCCGATAGAAATTATTAAAATCGCTACCATGCGCGATACGCCCGCCGTGGCTGAAGTCATAAATAAATGCCTTATGCTTGGCCAATTCCCAAAACCTTGGAAAGTTGCAAAGCTGGTCCTGATCGAAAAACCGAAGAGGGAGAACGACCATACCAAAAAATATAGACCAATCTGTTTACTCAACTGCAGCGGAAAGTTACTGGAATGCCTATGGAAGGGATTGCCTGGAATCAGAACTAGAAGAAGGCAACAAACTTCACCCTAATCAATTCGGCTTTAGGAAAGGGAAGTCCGCCATTGACGCATTAAACATGGTGGTCAACGAAGTAGATCGAATTAAAACCAAGAGTTACCGACATAGAGGATTTTTGGCATTACTCACCCTTGATATAAGGGACGCTTTCAATTCGGCTCCATGGCTGGCCATTGCAACCCAACTAGAGCATAAGGGAATTAGCCCATACCTTGTAGCATGGTACAGTCGTTCCTGTCACATAGATATGTCATCACAGAGTACGGCGGGAAACACAGAATGACGTACGGATTCCCTCAAGGTTCGATGCTCGGACCCACCCTCTGGAATATATTTTACGATCAGATACTTAGAACCGATACAGGCCTGGGCAACACGATCTTAGCTTATGCGGACGATCTAGTCCTCTTAATAACTGCATTAATAACTGCAACCTACACGATCCTTGAAGAAAAGATTCAGACGGCTGCGCTAGCGATTAAAAATAAGTTGGAAAGCATGGGCGTCAAACTGGCCCCAGAAATGACTTCACACGTCACAGAAATCAGGGATAAAACGACTGGCATGATCCAGCATCTGACGAGAATAACTCCCAATATCGGAGGACCTCGCGCGGAAAAAAGACTTCTCGCTTCGGTACTTCATTCGACCATACTCTACGCATCGGCGATCTGGGACAGATCCATGCGCTTCAAGCATTACGAAAACATGCTAGAAAGGATAAATAGGAAGTTAGCACTCAGGGTTGCATCGGCATACTGCACATGCCCAACAGTAGCGGTACTGTGTCTTGCTAAGATACCTCCAGTCAGTCTACTGAACCAGGAAAGAAATCAAATATATAAAAATGAAACTTCCTTCCGGAAAAAGGCCAGAAACATGGTACTAGAGCAATGGCAGACACGATGGGAAGCATATAGCGGATGGACAAAGACTTTCATACCCAATATTAAAGATTGGATAGAATGCGACCAAGCAAACACGGACTATTACATCACGCAAGCTATCACTGGCCATGAAGTATTTGGCGAGTATCTGCACAGGATCTGCAAGCCTGACTCTCCTACATGCTGGTATTGCGATGTGTCAGACACGGCTAACCACACACTATTTGTGTCACGCGCACGAAGAATTTACGGGAAAACGCAGAAACAGTATGTGGTACGAAGATTACTAGAGTAAACGTCGCAAACCTTCTAACATCATTGAATGAAAATATCGAAGCGATTTGCGGCATGTTGAAGAACATTATGAAGAAAAAGGCGAAGGACGAAAAAGACAAGATCTGGGTACAGACAAGACCAACATAGAAGAATGATAAGTCTCTAATCTTGATGAAATGCCTTCGGCGGTACCGAGATTGGCGAGCTTAGAGCACAGATGAGTTTTTAGTGGGTAGACCCTCTCGCATGAGGGAGATCCCATCTCAAACGCGTTTCCTATCTATAAAAAAAAGACCGTTATTCAGAAGCTAAAAATATATCGATAAAAATATGCATAAAAATTTACTTTCTAGCACACAGCCAGAGGATATTGGTACCGTACAGTATCAAGTTTAATAACTAATAAATTTAATGGCAAATCCACTGAGCTAATAAATTCAGTTTATTTAATATATTATTATAAATATTTTGCTGTTTTATTTATGTTTAATTAAAAATAACATAGAAACTATATTTAATTTTCTAATCTAATTATCAGCGAATATGCCTCTACAAAAGTTATAAACATAATCTGATTATCTATGGGCTTGATTTGTAATTAAAGCACTAATTTGAATGCACCAATTAGCCGATTTATAGAATTTGCAGATGCGACCATTATATTAAAGGCAATAATACTGGAAATCTCACAAAAGCGTAAATAGCCTAATAGTTTCTCTAAAAAGCTTTCTAAAGCTTCAACGATAATACGAGATTTAAAATGGAACATTTTATTCTTGATAATGATACCTACTAAATCTTTTAATCATAAAAACCTCATATTTTTATCATATTTTATTCTGAGCATACATATTTTGTAAAAATAATTTATTATTATCGTATATTTTATTGTTAATAGTTGTGTATAGTACAATTGCTAAGTTTTGAATAAAAAGTCTTATTAAGGAGTCTACGATGGCTATGAAATAAAGATCGATTTTATTTTATATGAAAATTTATGTAGGGTATGTCATCGATCGACATTTCCAAACCAACTGGATGCCGTTTTTAGCCGACCATACCAATAGGTATGGTAGGCTATTAGGATCGGCAAAAAAAAGTTTTTTTAATTTCACTCAAAATGAGTTACTTGGGTCATAAATGACCTAAATACAAAATTTTTTTATGGTGTCTGTTTGTCTGTCTGTCCGTCCGTCTGTAACACGATAACTCAAAAACCGCTGAACCGATTTTAACCAAATTTGGCACAAAAATACTGTGGCACCCGAGAATTTGGCTATTAGTTTTTGGTGGGGGTGGGGGGTTGTTAAGGGGGTATGGGAGGGGGTTAAAAATTTTAAAAAATCGTAACTCCAAAATTACAGTAGCTAGCGGAACGCGGTTTTTAAATTAAGATTAGGAATAATATTTTCAACAAAATTTGTAATAACATCAAAATCGGTCAAAGTCGCAGTTTTCGAGATATTAACATATTTTAGTATGGGCGTTTTTTTTCCCGGCGCCAATTTTTTTCGATCATACGGTACCATAGGATCGAAAAAAAAATGACATCAGGGACGATTAGGGAATGACAACCGATGATAATTTTAGCGAGGTCAAGCCCTAGTCGTCATTACGTTGTCCGTGCTCTTCTTTATTTTTTAATGGCGCTTACTGCCAGTTGACTTTAAGCAAATTGTAATTTACTTTCATCTTGAGTAAAAATTATTTTTAAATGGTGTTTAAAATTCGACAAAATATAATTTTTTGGAAATAGATGTCTTTGTCGGGAAAAGTTCTATCCTTTTTAATCTTGCTATAATTAGTGTAAATTTTTGACAAGTTTTATGTCAATTTTTAGTAAATGTTGTCTAGAGTTCTAGAGATTGACCTCGCTAAATTTATCATCGATTGTCATTCCCTATCTTCCTTGACGCCGTTTTTTTTTCAATTATACGGTACTATTTTTATATCCATGCATTAGAGACGCAATCGACGACATCAGACGCCATTTCCTTATAGTTTTAAAACAAAGTTTAAATAACTAATTTGTTCATGATGATTGTTGGATGATGATGAATCAATAATAAGCATTCTCTTGAAATGATGTGAACAGAAAAATTGTTTTTAATTTTTTCTAATCAGTGGTAAAGGTATAGTCTGTCCAAAAAGTGGATACAGGACAGTGACAAGTAGTTATCTCTGGTGACAAGGACAAATCTGTCTATGATTTTAATTCTATGATATTCACAGAGGTTTAACAACATTTTTTTTTTCAAACGTCACAAAAGTATTAATTTTTGCGACGCGATTGACAATATAAAAAAGTCATTTTTACGCCTAGGCATAAAAGTAAAGCACTTTTACGCCTAAGCATAAAAGTACGAAAGTATATTATTAAACTGACATAAAGCGTCAAATTCAACGAACATAAACATAGTTTGTCGATATACAGGGTGTCCCAGTAATAAGTGCAAATATTTTAAGGGGTGGTAGATCTCGATAAAAGAAGTCCAAAAAGCGGAGTTATTTTACTTTGAAAATCTCCAAAAAAAATGATATTTTGCTAAAATTTTGAGAACCAAAGCAAAAAAAAACTCATAGACGTGTTTCTGGGGTTGAACAGTTACTGGGTCTACCAGTTAAAATACTGGGTTAATATACTTACACTTATTTAATATAATTATTTAATAATAATATAAGGTATTACCAAGTATACAGATAAAAATCTTGTTCCTAATTCGTGGTACGAAAATTGTTTTTTTTATGACGATGAGCAAACGAGTAAATTTTCTTGCGCGTAAAAATAAACACTCGTTTAAACAGCGTAATAACTGGGCCGATCACAAGGCCGGTCAGGCGCTGTGCACAATTTTAGAGGCCATAAGTGGGCGTGCTTGTGCGCAAACCAGTAACCTAACTAGTGCGCGACTCCGAAAATTGGAACCACGAAAAAAAAATGCTTTTGACGATAAGTTTAAAATCTGGGTATTACTTTTAAATATTTTTATATTATCTGGAATGTTTGAAATTGTTTAAAAACTTAATTGTGGCGTTTAAAAAAAATGGCATGTTCTATTCGGAGTAAAAATTACTTTTTGTGCCTCGGTTGTATGTCGATACAAACGTACAGCCTCTCCATAAAAGTATAATTTTTAATCCTAATAAAACAATATACTATTTTTGTAGAAAATCGTTTTTAAGAAAGACCATCATTCGCATAACGTTTACATAATTCTTTGATCAATTTTTTTAACATTTTTTGGGCGAGGTTTTAAAAAATATTTTGCCTATATTTTTATCCTTTCGTCCTCTATTTTTTATTTTGAGAGTTGGCAACCCTATTCTAGGCAGTAAAAGTATTCGTTACAAGTTAACATTATTGCTTTAATAATAAAAAACATAAAAAAAAACTGCACCAATTTTCTTTAACTTAAAAGTTCTAAAACTGATAAAAAGTACTCTCCTGTTTACCTTAATAATTAGTAATTAACAAAAAACACCCAATAGAAACAGAGCAAATTTGTTTCAGAGTTACCAAAACAAGTTTTAAGCGGTGAAAACATCATTAATTAATTATAACAGAGTTTGTACCTGCTTTATTTACCTAAAATTTCGTTATTTATTATTTAGATATTGAAAAATTTTGGCCATAGAATAAAAAATAACTTAAACTATGTGATGGATAACTCAAACACTATAGTTTACTTATTTATTAGCCTATTTAAAATACAATTGAATAACTAAAAATAAACCCAATTACACAGAAAGTACTGCCAAAATAATAAATAATTACATTTATCTCAATTAAGTTTTTTTTATTACAGAAAACCATCCGGAAGTTTAAGAATCGACAATGTCAACTCACGTGGAATCAAATTCTCATTCCGTCGCTTCAAACCAGGTCAATTCTCACAGCAAGAGGCCAGTAATATTAATATATCCCACAGGTAATACAAGGCAAAAACTGGATTCAGAAGATTCTGACAAGCTGTTTTACATTTCATTAATAAAGTTAGGTGGTATTAATAAAGACTAGCATATGCTTATACTACTAATTTAAGAAGTAGATACTTTTAATTGTATTAATAAAATTTAAGAAGATGCTAATGCTACTAGTACTTGATGATAAGGATTAACATCTTCTAATGTTTACTTCAAAGTATCAGGATATCCTTAAAAAAGTATTAATAACAACCAGTAGATACTTTTACAAATAAGTACCTCCTAGAAAAATTATAGGTTCCTCATACTTTTTTTTTAATTTCATTATAATTTAGTGGTTATTTGATAGCATATCAAGTAGCAGTTAGTTTTTGGCAATCTTTAAAATGTTTTTACGGATTCGATCGCCAAAAGTTTTTAAACCGCGTCGCGGAAATCCTTCTGAACGTGACTTTATACAATTATATCGATTTACTAGTGAAAATGTAGAATGGATTGCACATCATTTTCTGGGGGAAAGTGAAGAAAGACGAGGAGGTGCTACCCAGTAACAAAGATGAAGACGTTTTTAAGATATATTTCCGATCCTGGTGTGTTTCTACAATATTTATCAAAGATTTAAAATTATAATAAGCGATGAATTAGGTTTCCAGATAGGCGTGGCTGAAGATATTGCTATTAGTCAACCTACGGTATCCAACACTGTCAAATTTGTCACTCCGCAAATTCTTAACAAAGCAGATACTTGGATTCGTTTTCCTCAATTAAGTAATACACTGATTTAATAAAGGTTTTACTAAAATGATGGTAAATTAAGGACGCAGAAAGTTTAGAGGCTGAAAGGTTTCAGCCTCTAAACTGTCTTTTCTAACGCTTCATCGGTTAGAAAAATATAGGTTTCCTACCGCAGTTGGCGTCATAGACTGCACACTTATTAAAATCAAAAAGATTCATCAAAATCCACATGGCCATGAATATATTTGTAAGAAACAGTTTCCCGCAATTAATGATCAAGCAAAATGCAACGCTGATGAACGATTTACCAGTGTCAGTGCCGAGTGGCCAGGGTCTGTACATGATAGCCGTATCTGGAGAAACAGTGATGTATGCAATGTATTAAGAAATACTCGAAATTTCATGCTTTTGGGAGATCAAGGCTACGGAATTGAGCCATACCTGATAACCCCTTACCAAAACCCGACAACCCAAGAATAAATTGGTTTCAACAATCTATTTAAAAAAGAACGTTATAATTGACCGCTGCTTTGGACAATAATTAAAGCAACGTTGCTACAAAACACTGTTAGAGTTGATTTAAGTTTCATTCGTTCTCTCATCGTGGCCTGTTTTGTTCTTCATAATGTAGCTAAATACTTTGAAATTCGTCCAAAAGACTTACTTTGAAATTCTTCCTCTAACAACTGCAATGCAGAATTTTTCCTCTGGGTGATTGAGGGTGTTTTTCCTTTATCAAGGATAATTACGTGTTCTTTCACAAAATTTGCAACAAATTCTAATTCCGAATTTGGTTTTTCTTGCACACTGGAATTGTCACTACTCTCGGAGTCCGACATTTTCAGATGCAAAAAGACGTTTATTTGCTCGTTTGTTAAATATTCTTGAATGTTTACTTTTCATAGAAATTGTAGTAGTAGCTTGTAATGTATTGATAGAAAACTAGATATAAACTACATGATTTTTTTCTTATCAGTTCTTTAAGAAATGGATCCCAAATAACTTTGCGATTTTAGTAGATACTGACTAGGATTAAGCACATACTTATTAGTATTAGCATTTAGTTATTAATATAAATATCAGCATTTGATTCTAGCATCTGCTGATACTTAAAAATAAATGCCAATAGTACTTACTACATAAGCATATACTGGTTTTTATTAATATTTCCCATGTCTCTTTATTATTTTATTTCAGTTTTACATTATTCAGCATTCTAAAATAGTTATTTGTGTAACTATTGCAAAAAGGACATATTTGTTGCATGCCGCATGAGTTTTGCAATGCTGAGTGCACCAAATATGCTTTTTGCACATGTTGCACACTACATTTTTTCTACGATCGTATTCAAATTCTTATTTATATGTTTAATAAAAAGTTTTTACGGTAATTCACATAATAATATTACCACTAACAATGACACTATAAACAAATATTATTTTAATTTTTTTGTGAGTTCATTTTAATTTTAATATCGCAGTTTGAACAATTCGTAATTCATGGAGAAACTTAATTTCCAGTAGTCTTCGGAATTTTATTTTCATTTCTCCTCGTGGAGGTCTCTAGTTCTTGTTCTTCACTTTTCCGGAATGTTGCTGATACAATAATCGCAAAACAATTTCCGATGCACGTGATCAACTTTGAGTGACAAGCGATGGCGACAACGCTGCCAGATTGTGATGGATTTTTACGGGATGAATCTTAATGTAAAATTAGGAATCATTTAAAGATTTTTACGTTTTATTTTTAATTAAATAATTAATATTTTAGTAACTTACTACACTACAAGTGATAATAACAAATGGGTAACTACAACAAGAGTACTAGTCACTACTAACACTAATGCACAAACTAATAATCACAGAATTTACTAAAAACTAACGTAGAAATAACTTTGAAAGTGGTACCTTACTGATATGCTTACCAATCAAACTTACTTCTCTGACTGCAATCAAGGGTAATAAAGCAGATTTTCATTCAAAATAGTTTATCAGGGAAGCTACAATCTCTTTACTTCGACTCTTTAAATGCTTCGGCATATTTTCAACACAGCTCGACAATTTAGTTCTTAAAAGAACTGTTTGTGCTTAAAAGTACAATTTTTAAAAAAGGATAGGAAAATAGACAAAAAAAACGAGAATGACTCACAAAGATTCAAGAACAACACGACATTATACAAAATAATGACTAATATTGTGATAATTGTCAAATAATAAACAACACTGTTGCTGAATACGACGCAATGTGATGAACATAGCGATAATAAAATTCCGTTTAAACTAATTTTTGCCGCTTTAATCTAACTAAAATATGTTACAATCATATGCTATATAAGTAAAATAAAGTAAACGAAAAGTAAAAAGAAAAAAAATTAGTCAGGTTTATAGGCTTTAGTGTCAATTTCGATATGATTGATGGCGTGCATTGGAAAATGTTTTGCGATTACCGTAGGTGCCCACTGCCCAGTACTGGTACTTGGTTTACCTTCCAGGATTTGACAATTTTTTTCTCTTTAGTTAAACTCGTCATTAATAATGTCAAGGTGCAATAGTGTAAATTTGACTTTTAATACAGTAGATGCTGTAAAAAATAGCTACTTTTTACCGGTCGTAGAAAAACTTTAATAAGGTTATTTGTTTTGCAGTATCGCCCGAGACGGTAGTTATCCCCATCATCTCATGCATCTTCGGGTTTCCCCTACTAGCACTTTTGGTCATCTGCTGTCTGAGGAGGAGAGCGAAACTAGCCAGGGAGCAGGCTCGCAGGAGGGCAGGAGACTTTGAACACGGTACTTTCTCTATAGTCAGGTTCAGCTCTTTACACTACATAGGTAACTACTAGCGCTATCCTTTGGTTCTCGCTTCTCTTTAATTTCAGTTCTATTCATCCCTATTCTACGTTTATTTTCATATTTTTTTCTATTATTTTTTTTAATAACTCGGTACTTCACTAATACAACGAGAGCCACATCGGTAAAGAACATGAATTTTAGTAAAGCTGATTTTTTTCGCTTTCTGAATTAACATGATGCGGGCTATCTGACTGACAGTAGTATATACAGGGTGCTACAAATTCGAGGTACGAGCATTGGTATCTCGGAAACCGTAATAGATACGAAGATGGTTAAAATGGAGCAAAGTTGCGCCTTGGGCTGTTCACCAAGATGCCATCAAAAAAGTTTTAAAAATTTTAAGATTGATGAGTTTTTTGGAAAAAACGGATTTTTTTGAATATCAATTTGATTTTTTCCTGTCGTTACTTTTTAGAAAATAAAAAAACTAACTGCACATCTTCATAGCCACTTTATTAGATCTATTTGATAGTATTTTTAGATTTTGCAAATTAGCTGATAATTTGTGAGATACAGAAGCCAACTTAATTTTTTTAAATACGGACATGCATTTTTTATTTGAGGTTTTGAAAGAAGTCGGCCCCCTGAGTACAATGATATACCACACTTTATACTTTTTTTTGGTTTTGGGTACCTTAACAACAACAAGACTATTTAATTACATTTTAAAATAATTCCAAGTCCGACTCTGGTTTTTCAAATTATTTAATCTGATTATATTCATCGCAACAATATTAATCAGTGCTAATTAACATTGAATAAAGATAATCGAGCCAATTGAAAGATTCAAATAAATAATATCCAGGTCCGCAATTTAAAGATATTATTTTTAATTTTTTTTTATTGTGAATTTGAAATCTCAGTGTACGATCTAATAATTTGCATAATATTAATCGTAATTATTATAAATAAATCAACTTCTACAAACTAGTTTCTAATGCTCTACATGTTCGGAAGAGTTACCACTCTACCTATTGCAAAAATTTATTATTCGTGCAATTAATTATATTTACAGCTCTTTGAACATAAAATATCTTCTTCTTTTATTTCCGAATGCATTTTTTACTCTTTGTGGTAAATGTTGAAAAATATTAATTTTACTTTTACAAATGACGTCAAGTAATATCCCCCCTCCCGCTCCTTTGCGACAGATCCAGAAACCTCGCTGGCCATTATACTGCTCTACCATTTCCAATCTATCTTCCGGGGAAATAATTTGATTGTTTATATTATATTATATTTATATTATTTATTTTATATTATTTTTATTGCATTTGGTTTTCCGTATTCAGTGTTTTACCCCACATCATTGTTAAGTTTGAAGGTATAAATATTGTAAGGATGAATAGATTAAATATTAAAAAAAACAGAGCCGGACTTAAATTAGTTTAAATAAATTGTGTTTAAATGTTCGAAACAAAAAAAAATATTAAGTTTGGAATATATTGTACTCAGAAGACCCAGTTCTTTCAAAAGATGAAATAAAAAATGCAGGTCCGTATTTAAAAAAATTAAGTTGACCTCTGTATCTCACAAATTATGAGCTAATTTGAAAATCTGAAAATAACGTTAGATAGCCCTAATAAAGTGGCTATGAGAATGTGTAATTAGTTTTTTGGTTTTCAAAAAAGTAACGACAGAAAAAAATAAAACTGATTTTCAAAAAAATCCGTTTTTTCCAAAAAACTCAGCAATCCTTGAAATTTTTAAAACTTTTTTACTGGCATCTTGGTGAACATCTCAAAGTGCAACTTTGCCCCAATTTAACCATGTTCGTATCTATTACGGTTACCGAGATAACAATGCTCGTACCTCGAATTTGTAGCACCCTGTATATATTAATAACATATTAATTCTAATTTTTCTATTTCTCCAGAGAAGACTAAACGTATAATTATCAAAGATAAAAGTTGTTGAAAATTCAATTTTATATCTAAACTGTAGAGGTGTTGAAAAAGTAACTATTCGTTACTCCAGTACGCGTTACTCATCGATACCCGAAGTAACGCGTAATAAATTTAAATCCATACGATTACTTTGATTACTATAACTACTTATAGTATTTATCATTTAGTTTATCGTATCGTACTTATACATATATGTAGGTACCTAATATGTATAGTATTGTATCGTCATTATTTTCACAGCTACTATTAATAATAAATTTATACTACTTAAAAAATATATAACTTGTTTATAATACCTGGTGCGTCTCAAAAGAGGCTCACCCCCTATAACTTTTTTTTGATAAGAAATCGAGATTTGGCATATTAATATATGACATAAATTATTTTTATATTATGATTAAATGACATATCCAATTGCTTCTGGTCACTTCCTGTTTCACCGGAAATGACAACAACTGATTTTTAAATGGCACCCTCGGTATATCTCTACTTTATTCGATAGAAAATGACACTCTGATTAGAATGATATATCATATGTCAAATTTTGACATTTTCGAATATGGTTTAATTGAAATTGCAACATGCGATTCATAACGACAATTTGACTCGAAATACCAAGTGTGTAAAGGTATCAAATTATTCGTAAAAAAATATTTTTCCAAATATTCCCAAGTAGTATTTGGACGTTATCTAACGTCGGGTATACGTCGCGTTCAATAAACCCGACGTCGGGTATCAACGTCGGTTCGACCGCCTGACGACCCTTATTTGTACCTAAATGGGGAATACAGATTCGGGTATCCTCGACGTCGGTATCTGACCTAATAGGGAATGTAATTCTACCAACTACCAACGTCATATTACGTTGGATTTTAGTCACTTAAAATTCGTCTCTAAGCACTAACGTTACGTTTGGTTTCATATTCGCTACCAAGAATACATAAAAACCTAACCAAACTACCTAATTACAAATGGATTCATAATCACTCCTCGAATATAACTATAAGTGCCTGTCTAATTTCATATTATAATAATTGTGAATCATTAATCCAGACATCAGTTTTGTCAACGGAAGTCACTTTTTTGATATATCTGATTAAAATACTCCGGAAAACAACGAGCGCCTTCAAAATTAGGTAGATTTATGAAATAAAAATATCTATAAAAAAGTAACTCGCAAAATATTTTTTTAATTTTCTTGCTGGTTTAATCATAAAACTGTACCCCCCAAACTCAACCTTATCAATATTATTCTACTAGAAATCGAAATGTGAATATAAATTTTAAAAACATAAAATGATTTTAAAATGGCTGACAATCGGATACGTGTTAAGAATGGCGGATTTCTGTGTCCGACTTAATATGAACTACCAATATACCAATTCCGACCGGGTCTCCAACATTAGTCAAACACGACCGAATAAAATTGCAAATAGCGAATAAAAATAATTAAAATAAAAAAGTGTATTTTACAATTCCCCCGGCCCCGCACCCCTTTGGCTAACCTATAATGTCAGCTATGTCGAGAGATGGCGTTACGAAAATGGAACCGATTTATTACAAGGAACTTGGGCTTCTTTTTCGTTAGTATATTCTGTGAGCCTAACCTCACATGTCGGAGGAGGATGGGGTCTGCTGGTTTCCTAAGCTAAAAAATGAAATTAAGATGCACCAGTGTAATGCAGCATCTCTTCCGGATAAAAAGCATTTACGGGTGGAGGCAAGACATCACTACTACTATTATTATTTTGCAAAAGCCGCGACCTCTTTCTGTAAAATGTAAATAAATGTCTAAATGCCTTTTTACTGTTTTTTAGGCATAATAAAAAAATTAAGTTTGTTTACAAAAACTTTTTATTAGGTTGTGTTCATGATGTTCATTAGGTTGCAAATACTACTTAATGAGTTGTATTTACGGACGTAAATAGAGATACGTAAATTAGGTTATAAATATGAACATAAAATACAACAAAATATAATTGGACGTTACTTTAGGGATTATCAGTGAGACGTATCCTATTCGGACAACAGGTAGACGTCGGGCTAGTTCAAGTATATGTACGTCGTGCAAGCCAACGTGGGAACGACGTTGGGAAATTAATAAAAATGGTACGTTGTTATTTTGTACATCGACAGATCGTTGGATTCACCGACTCGGATCCAACGACGTCGCTTTTAATAGGAAAGCGACGTCACAGGTCGTATCACCAGCACCCGACCTAAATTTGCACAAAGTCTGACGTCGCTTCAGGTCAGATTTAGTTCGAAGTCAGATAGATGCTACTTGGGTTCTAATGAGTCACTCTTGTCATATTTGAAAAAAATGAGATATGTATGATTAACACTTTTAGCCGGCCAGGAAAAGATACTAAAAACATGACGATCAAATCTATTTTTTCAAGGCTTCTTGATTAAAAATTACTGTTTTAACACATCCTTTATATCACTTTAGACTGGACTTTAAAAAACAATTTTGTTTTAAGCGAAAATGTCAAAAGTTGTCATATGATATGTCATTCTATTCAGAGTGTCATTTTCTATCGAATAACGTAAAAATATACCGGGGTGCTATTCAAAAATCAGAAGTTGTAGTCATTTCCAGTAAAACAGGAAGAGGCCGAAAAGAGTTGAATACGTCAATCAATCCTAATTTATGTCATATACTAACATACCAAATTTCGTTTTTTTATCTAAAAAAATAAAAAAGTTATAGAAGTGAGCCACTTTTGAGACGCACCCGGTATATGTATGGCCTTTAAAAGAAAATATATGTCTTATTTATTAATATCAATTTTATTTTTTTTTATTTTTATCTACAAAATAGTTCATTATTAGAACATAACTTTCGTGTCCAAATATATTATGAAATTTTAAAGACATTGATTGAGTACTTCGTACTTCTGTAGTATTTCACGAGGTACTTCAGTACAAGATATTTAAAATACGCAACCACAGATAGTTTCATCGGTTGTTCTATATGGTTGAATACATTTATTTTATTTTTGCAGCCTAGTATTTGTGTTTGGTTTGAAACTACAACTCAGTGTTGTAGTTTCACTTATCTTAGATATA